TGTTGGACACGGGGTCGGTGGGGGAAAACCGCGGGGAGGGCGGGGTCCGCAGACGCCCTTGGGGCCTGGGGGCGGGGGTCTGTGCGTGGGACGCGAGTCAGGCGCGGAGGGTCTGCTGGCCCGGGCCAGGGGCTCCCGCAGGGTCCCCAGGGCTGGGGAGGCGGGATGCGCGGGGGAGGGAGAGGTGTGTATCCGGGATGGGGGGGCCCGGGGGCTAGCCCGAACCCCGCGGGAACCCACCCGAGGCGGGGAGGGGCAGGGTCCTCCGGGGGGCGTCCTCGGGCCGGACACGTGGCAGCGCTTTGCACGACCGCCCGGTAAGGATACCACCCCGCGCGGACCCCTCCTGCCGGGCTCCTCCCCGCCGCTGGGAAGGAGGGCGACCGGGGTTTAAGAAGAGAACCGTGAGGGAGCGCCCTGAGCGCGGGGGCCGCGTGGCTGTGACGCTGTAGGGCGCTCGCTGCGCCGGGAGGCCTCCTCTTTGGCGGAGGTCGTTTGTTGGGACCCACAGCTGAGCTTTCTGGGCACAGAGGCCGGATGCGGGTTGAATGTCAAGCAACCAGCAGAGTTCCTGGCATTTCTGAGCACCGGGATGGAGGGGAAAAAGGAGGGGAGCAGGGAGGGCGGAGGGATGAAGGGGGGAGGGGGAGGGCCCACCGGCCCTTTCAGAGCATCCAGGGCGCAGGTTTCAGATGTCCTGAGACAACGGCCTTTTCCACGCTAAGGACGGGCCGCCATGGATTTGCGAGTTCTGTACCAGGCACCACCAAGTCCCCGAAAGGTTGAAACAAGCAGCCTTCCCACGGGTCTCAGAGCTGCGAGTCTGCGATCAGGGTGTCCGCAGGGCTGGTTTCTCCCCAGGCTTCCTCCCGAGGCTCGCAGAGGGCTGCCCGCTCTGTGTGCATCTCTGCTGTCGCCCTTCTTATAAGGGTGCCAGCCCCACCCGTGCGATCTCACGTAACCTTAATCACCTCCTTAGAGGCCCTGTATCCAAGTACAGTCCCACTGGGGGCTCAGATTTCTCCCTGTGAGTTTAGGGGGCATCCAGCAGTGGGGTGCCGGCTGACCTGAGAAAAGCCCAGTGTCCTCGCAGTGGGAGCGAGGGGCTTCCGAGTGGAAGGAAGCTGGAGAGGTGGGACAGCTCAGAGCCCAGCTGCAGGGCATGGGGACTCCCCAGGGCGTGGTACCCAATGGCTGGTAACCGTCAGCCGGGGGCCCCAGGGTCTCTCTGGGGCCAGAGCACCGTGTGCACCTGCCAGGCAGCAGCCAGAGGCGCCTGCGCTGTGTCTTCACGTGGCTGTAGGAACCACCTCCTCACCATTGTCAACTGGGGTAGGGACCGTGGTTCCCCAGCAGCTTTTCAGGGACTTTGCCCAAAGTCCTGAGGCCTTGTGGGAAACCAGGCCTCTCCTCCCTTCCTTTTTGTAAACAAAGAAACTGCCAGCATGGAAACTGCATCTCCCTTGTCCTTCCTTCAAAGGGTGATGATAACCTGGGTCATCCATCATTTTTATTTCCGAAGGATGGACGCGCCTGCTCCACTGGCCCTGGAACTTTCCTCCCCCTCAGCCGTTGGCTCTGGCCTCTCCCGATGTTTATTTCAACCTCACGATTAAAGAAAAATGTTAAGTGTGCAACAGCTCTTTTCCAAATGCTGGAAAGATCTGGAACCAGGCAGCCCCTTGGGAAAAGCTTCGAAAGGGGGAAAAAAACCCACGTTTACAAATAACACACTTGGAAATAACAGATCATCTCGGTTTGGGACACATGCAACTTTCCTAGACTTTTTTTTTTTTAACGAGGATCTTCTGAAAATCAACAGAAAGAGGTCAACCATAATAACGATTTCAGAATAACCATTAGAAACCAAACAAAGAAAAACATCTGGAGATGATAAGTAGGAAGCTGTGACAATCTGTATAGGGGTCATTTCCTAAAAGTGAGTATGAGCAGGTACAGAAGTGCAACCGCAGAGCTCTCCCGTGTCCTCACAGGTGCCCAATTACAGAACTTTAGTGCAGGATTTTAGAGGGAGATTCGTTGCCTGTTATGGCTGCATCATTTCATTAAACTGCGACAGCCCAGGAAGACCGGGTGTTCTAGCCTTGCTGATAGGGAAGTGCAGGAATTCCCCCCGAATCGCAGGGGTGGTGGGTCTGAGACGGGAAGGGGGCAGGGCACAGCCATTCAAGGACTGCTATGGCAATTAACGTCAAACTGATGGAAGATTCAACCCCCAGGAGGCACTGGGGCTCAAGGTGGTGGGAGATTTGACGTCTAGGAGAACTTGAGCTTCATTATACGCCCACTGTAATATATCAGCATGGTGAATATATTACCACAGGCACCATGGCGGTCCCGAGGCCAGCCACAGAAGGTCAAAGAGTGGGAAAAGGCCAACTTCCGGGGAATCCCAGCCCCTTCCCCAGGCTAGTTACACTGGTCCTTCTACTTATTAACATATGAAGCCACTGAGCCCATAAAAATGGGCAACACTGCCCCTCACGGCCTCTGTCTCTGTTTGGAGACGGCCCGCACTCTGTCTGTGGAGTGTGCACCTACTTTTACTCTAACCTGAGCCCCCAACCCCCACACCTCGTGGCCTTTCTCTTGCCTTTCGATGTATCTCTCTGAATAAATCTACCTTTACTCAACGGTGGCTCGCTCCTGAGTTCTTTCCTGCGCGAAGCCAAGGACCCACACTTGGCGGGGCACGTCCCAGGGGCTCCCCTGAGACCAGGGACATGGCCCCCCTCATGCCCCACGTCTGTTTTTCCTGCATCAGGTCCACAGCTCTTTGGAATCCGTCTCTCTTGGCTGCCAAGCAGGTGTCTCCCAGCTGTGCGGGCCTGGCCCTACCAAGCAGGTCACGTGCTGAGCGGGTACCTTTGGGCTCTGTGACTCATGAAAGGGGACACTTAGGGGCTGGTGTCGTTCCTCCCTGGGGGCCTGGGAGGCGGTCTGTTGTGACGGGGAACATGTAAGTGAGACACAGGCAAGGAGGCTGAGCCGTTTCCCACAGTCCTCCACGCATCCCTCTGTCTCTTCTATCCCAGGGTATTAGCTTTTCCAGGGGAGAGGGCAAAGGAGCGGTAATTCACCCCTTCACCATCAAAGTGCCCACACACACGTCCCCAGCCCCGCTGGGAAAGACTGCTCAGATGCCTTCAGTCTGACAAACCCGAGACAGACCCTGGTGGCCCTGTAACCAGAGCACCCCTCTCCGGAATTGCTGTGGGCAGGACGGCCCTCATGTGGTCAGACGCTGGCATCCCCGAGGCAGCTCACCCAGGTCTCCTCCAAGCGGCCACTCCCTTGGGAAAACCTGTGTCTCAAGAAACGGCTTCGTGCTGATGGCTGTCCTGGAACCAAAGGGTGTGAGGTGACGGGGCAGAGCAGAGGACGCCAGGGACAGCGTGTCCTCAGGGTGTCCCCAGGTCCGTGAACGGATGGGGGAAGGAGGGGCGGTGGGGGCGCAGGGCCCTGAGAGATTTTCATTTCAGCGCTCAAGGAATGTGGCCTAACAGGGTTGGGGATTTGGAGAAACACAATAACTGACACCGGGGGGTTAGAAATAAGAAAGAAAGACGGACATCTTATCCTCTGTGTGCACAATTCTGACTCAGAAGCCTCAGCCTCATTGTGCCCCAGGAGACAATTTTTTGTGGGGAGGGAGCAGCCCTCGTAATCAAAGCCGATGGCATCAGAGCTGCAGCAAAAGCACGGGTCAGAGCACAGAAAGCTGTCTGCAACGCGTCCCAGCGGCAGCTCTCCCGGGCTCCCGGCCCGGCCTGTGGTTTTGCCCTCTTGCACCATCTGTCTCTGCGAGGCCTCCCTGCACCTCTCCCCAGCAACACTTACAGGCCGTTCGATCTTAGCAGCAGCCACTTTGCTTGGCCACAGATACCTCGATGCTTTCAGAGTCCCGTGAGAAAAGTGGTTGACCTGGGGGTTCCTGGGATGACTCGCCCTGGGGTGTGGATAAGCACCGAGGACCAATGAAATCGCAGGGGTTGAGGAGAGCCACG